AGCGGAGACAGAGAGGGACGTTTCTTCCCTGAGGTGTCTGTCCAGCGCTGCCGCGGACAGGTGATGGTTGTCGAGCGAAGTTGCTGGGAAAAAACAAGAAAAACTTCTTTTTCTTTTTGCGTTTGCTGTTATGTGCTCTGTGTTACAAATCAGCACGTCCTCTTGGCCCTGTTTGTCTAAACAGAACAGTTATAACACAGTTATCTTGGGGACAAAACCGTAGGGAGAGGAAGGCTGTTGTGTCACTGTCATGAGCGAAGCATCTCTTGATGTTACCTGGAGTACCCCTTTTGAGACGTCTTCTTTTATCCCTGTCATGTCTTCCTCCACCATCCACCAGGGCTTTTATCGAGAGTGTTTCTATACCTAACTACCTAGTATTTTTTTGTAACCAAGTGATAGCTTCAGCTGAGGACCTGGTGTTCCTGCTTGTGTCTTAAACAGACAAAAACATTGCTGACCACAATTTTTCCCTTCAGAAGCAGGAGTATAATCGGTCTTAACGGACCTCCTACTTCCTTAGACTGGATAGGTTTGGTGCTATAGGTTGGTGGCCAATTTTAAATGCTGACATCTACGGTGAGGCCTTGCTGAAATTGAATCAGATCATTGTGCACTGTTTAAAAAAAGAGCATATTCTTGAATGTGTGATTAGTGTGTTTTGACCAAAGTTATTGTACTGGCAATTATTCCTGCAGCTTAAATAATTCATAGTTTAAAGAGTAGGCCTCTTAAGAGTCATTGAGTATGTATAAGCGGCTAATCAAGAATATCTGTCTACATTTCCATTTATTTAAAAACATTAAAATATACTGTGTGTCAAACGAGGCTGCATAAAAATCTCGCTCTTAAAATTAACCAAAGGAAAACCAAACTGTACAGCATATTTGAATTTGCAAACTCGTTCAACTCTGAAATTACTTGATATTTCATTTCTGCATTTTAATAGATGAATGGTCACTTTTTTAGATACATTTATTATTACAGCTTAAAAAAAAGAGGCTGTTCCCTTGCTGGTTTTGCCTTTTTGTGGCTAGGCGTACTTGGTATAAAACCAGGTTAAAAAGTACACAGTCATCTAGTAGAGCAAATGATTAACTATTGTGCAGTCTTACTATGAAGACCTTTATTTGTGTTGTATCAGATCATGTTTTACCTTTAAAAGCAGATAAAGGAGAAGGCTGGTATTAAATTAGAAATCATTAAAGATTTTTGAGGGGTGTGTGGGATGTTCGTTTTGGGATTTTTGTAGGGAGTGGTGAGGAGATTTCAAAGTTGCAACTTAGCTGATGACTCACCTGACTGAAACAAGTCATACCACTTCTCTCTTTCCACATATGAGGGTGATACTATAGAGTTATTTTACAATGGATTTTAAAGATTATGTCTTATATCTGCAATTACTATGTGCCAGAGAACTAGCATTGGTTCATGACCTATATATATGCGCATAGCTTTCTGGTTTTGCAATCAGTTAACTTGTGACTAAGTTTTACAGCAGTCTTCTGTAAGAAATGCTCTCTGTTTTGTACTATAAAATCCATTTCCCTAGCAGAATTCAGGAAGGTAGTAACTTTAAATGGAATTGGTTTTGGTTAGCTTTGTATATCTACAGCTCTAAGTGGCAGAGGGAAAAAACCCTTTCTTGAGCTGTTATGAATACAAACAGCTCTTTGAGAATTAAATGTTTTGTAGAAGGAAAAAAAAACCACTAGCAAACATATCTTTAATATGTAGATACATGCTTTGATACCTCAGCTGGCATGTAGCAGAAAAATGTGTCTTGTTTCTGTTGATCTTAGTGAGTGATTCAGTTTAATGATTCAGTTTGCTTTAGCAGCAAGAGGGGGCTTCTCTAATAATTTTGTAGTATACCAGGGCTTCTTTGAATCAGCAATCACCTTTTTAAATAGATCTCTTATGTTGAAACATTCTGTAAGATATTACTAGTCTTGTTCTTACCTTTTGTGTGCATTCTTTACAAATGTTACAAGGCATCCAAAAGTTTTGAGATACAAATTTGACAGCAATAGATGAGATTTGATAGTAATGAATTGAAGAATCTCTCTGAACCCTCTATCTAATAAGCTTGATTTTAGTGTTACACTTTTTTCAGCATTGTAGGCTTTTTGTTAGTATGTGATTTTTTTTTTGTTTGGGTTTTTGGATTTGTGGGTTGGTTTTGGTTTTGTTGGGTTTTTTTTTTTTTCTTTCTGCAAAATATTTACTAAAAGGCCTTAAAAATGTTTGAAACTAATACTGGCACTATGTAAACAGGGAGAAGAGCAGCCAACAGGTCTTCAGAGGATTCCAGATGCATCCTAATGGAGAGAACATTTTGCCTCTGGAAGGTAAAAGTAGCTGTCTGCATAAGGTAGGCTTTATTTGCACGTTACACACTGTTTAACATATTGTTTCTCAGACTTTTCCTAGTGCCACCCTTGGATTCACCTTGAATTTATCTGTGTTCACTTTATCTTCCTGGGTCAAAATAGCTTTTATTTCAGCCAAGAAATAGCTAACTGCTTTTAGTCATGTTGTGCAAAAATTTGTGTTAACAGTTTTGAGGTATTCTTGCCTAAAAAAACCTTTTGAGTTTTGAAGTTGGCTTTGAATATAATCTTTGTTACTCACATTCAAAACATACTTGAAAGGAAGCTACGTGCACCAGAATATCTGAGGTGGTGAAATACTGGTGTAGTTGGGTAAAGAAGCTGTGGGAGAGGTGAAATGAAAGGCAGGTTTTTTGAGTGTGATAAGTAATCAAGAAAGATTATGTATATACCTTTTTTACCTTTTTAAAAAGTTGAAAACATTGTACAGGCTATTGTGAAAGGTGACCTGGCAGTGGAGTAGCAATGGGTGACAATGGCAAAAGGTAGCAACGGTAGGCATTGGGGTTTTAGACCAAACCCACCAAGAACTCTTCAGCTGGTATTAACAGAGTCCTTAGAGGCTTAAAATCTCTGAAGAACAAGAGCTTCATCTATGAAACAGATGAACTCTACTGTCCCTGGGCGAAAAACAGTGGTGCAAAATCTGAAAGGGAGATTAGTTTGCTGCCTCATCAAGTATTGATGCTGTAAGAGGATTGGATTTGCATATCCAAGGAGCAGTGATTTCTCCTATTATTGATTACTTAGAGCAACACAACAAACATTAAGTTGGAAATCCTAATTGTCCCTACAGTGGTGTTCAGCTAAAACTCTATAGGTAATTTCATATGGGTTGCAAGGGAAATACTGATAATTTCTAATGGACCAAAATAACTAAATACAGTTTTTGAGTGAAGACTCAAGGTCCATTTATACTTTCAGTGGGAATTCCTAGAAACTTAATCTACTTATTTACTACCAGGTATTCTGGGATCTAGAACTTTCTGCCCTGTGGAAAACACATTTTGATCCTCATTTCTCATGGAAGCCCCATCCAACCTGACCTTGAACACATCCAGCGATAGATACAATGGAATTTTGGTATACTGCAGACTTATCTTTAGAATAATTTATCTTTTCTTGTGAATTTTTTATGTGGAGCTGCATTAGCATTATAAAGGTCTCTTCAATTTATAGTGTTTCAATTTCAGTCAGTTTCTCTGAAATTAAAGAGCATAGTGTGAGTATCTACCTTGTAAACTTCTGAATCAGTACTTCTGCTCCTGTATGCAGTTGCAGCCATGAACTCTTTAAAAATAAGAGTGTTGATATGTTTCAGTGACTGCATTGCAGTCTCCAGGTCTGATTCAATTCAACATGGAGCAAATGAATGTAATATGATTATCTTAATAATAACACAGTTTCTAACTCAGATAACATTGCTGAACAAGATTAAGAGCTGGGCAAGCCTCAACACCAGATGGCAGTATCTGGTGAGCTTCTGACTTGTGCCTAATGACTAAGTTAACTGGTTTTGGCCTATTTTATGAAAATTCTTATTGAGAGTTACCAAGATCTCTTTTCTCTGAAAAGTCATTAAAAAAACTCTGTAAGAATGAGTGTTTCTAACTGAGAGTTAAAAGCAGACTACACTGAAGAAGTTATTTTTCTATCTTCCCCAATCTCAGAGAGACCAAAGGTAAGTCATAATTACTTGGTTAACACAATGGTTAGCTTTGGGAAGTTATGTGCCTCTTGTACGTGTCTCTCTTACCACCGCCTGTCTTTATTGATAGTTCTTGATAACTTCCTGAACACCTAGGAAGGTATTTACTACTTAGGGATTTGAAGTATGTAGTAATCCGAGTCTCAGCTGTGTGGCTCAGGTTAATTTCATTCATATTCATCCAGGAGAAATAAATATTTTCTGAAATGTGTTTTGTCTCAGTGCTTGTGTTGGTATTTTTAAGTTCTTTAAAAAAATAGTGGGCTGTATTTGGAAACTAGCTATTTATATTATAATCCTTAAGAGGTTTTTTGTATTATTAAAGTCCACGTTAGTTTCTGGATTCATCATCCTATCAGTGATCATGCTTTTCACCTCTTTGGGAAAAAGAAATTGGTAAGCAGCTCAAGTTCAGTACAGAAGGAATTGTATTTTCTTCTTGACTTAATGTGTTTTGTGGGATTATTATTTTTTTTTAAACTGGTGTTCTGTGTAGAGATTGTAGAGGCAGAAAACTGATCTACCAATCATTGCCATATAAGAGGCTTTGCATTATCTCTTTAGTAACCTCTGGACCTGGTGTGCAGTCTGAATAGTCAAAATAACTGCCTGCAGTCAGTACAGCTGTTGCCTCAGGACTCCTCTTGAAACATAAAGGGCTATAAAGCCCTTGCTTAACACTGCTTCCCGCTGACCTCTAGTTCACCAAATATTCCAGCAAGCAGTGGTTTCCTGCCTAGATCTTTAGGACTTTTTTATGTCTACACTTCGTGGTTGCAAGGCTGTTAAACGATGGTTGGAGCTTATCTTGCAGGTGGTCATTGCAGTTATACTGATGCCACTTCAAGATCCGTTGATACGTGCTGATATGTCCTTAGTAAGATCACTTCTTGAATTGTCACTCTTTTTTGGTAGTTTGGTTTGACAACAATCTGATTGCACAACACGGTCCAGTAAGTCAACATTTTTCAGCTGAACGTCTTTCTGATATAAAGCCACATATGGATTGTATTTTTCTCCGTAGAATCTCCCTCAGCACAGTATTGTCAATTCTAGCCTATGCCACTTCCTTAGCAACTTTCCTGCTTCTGTCTATTCCTAAAGATTAGTGTCGGATTGTTTACAAATGTACAGAAAATCAAAGTGGAGATACTGTTTATTTTCTTAACATTAGTTGTTAGCCATGTGAATGTGACTGATTTCACAGAATGAACTACTCTGAGAAAATGGTAAAACAAGAAAAAATAGAGGGCTAGACTTTTTCCTCTGAAAGCACACAGTCCTACGTGCTCATGTGCTCCAAATTAAAAGTTTTATTTAAGAGGGGTAACTTTTGCATCCTGAAATTAAAATATTGTTTTCATTTTTGCATGTTATCACATAAAGTTTTGTCTAAAATAAGAAAAGGAGGAATCTCTGTAGAGAGGTTATCCTGAACCTAGTTTTGAACATGTGACATGTAAACTGCTGTGTGGCTGACAGATGACCTTGAATATAAAAATGTTATAGTCAATACTTTCTTTATAATGAATGAAATTAGAATTCTGTTTTCAAGCTTTGAACTTCATTACAAAATCTTTACCTCCTTTCTCCCCATTACTCATGATTTTTGGTCATATTATTTGCTCTGTAGGATTTAAATAAATTTCTGTTGGTTATAAACCTACAAGAAGGGAGGAATATCAAGCAGTAAAATAAGTTTTTAAACCATTAACTTTGAGTGTACTGCTTCTATTACTTTAAGTTTTGTTTTTTTGTTGTAAAGAATGATCAGGAAGTTTCCCATATGGTATGTTTCAAAAAAGCTGCAACAAAGTTATTTTAATAAGAAAAATGAATGCATGAATTATTTAAAATAGTTGGTGCAACTGTTCCTGTTAACTAATCCAGGCACTTGGAAGGCAATTACACTGAGCTTTGACAACACTGCCAACCCACTGCACAGTGCCTTATGCCAAAAGCTATTGTTGTTTTATTGACCACGTTCACCATTACATATGCATATGAAAAAACAGAGGCATTTTCATCGGGATTACCCTAATAGCATTAAGAGATTATTTTTTAAATTTCCTTGGAAGGAAATTCACTTAAATGAGATTACTTATTACTTGACTGGTTTCCTATCACGCTGCTATGTTTAGGTAAGTGGAGTCCATTAGAGTATAAAGTTTTTAAAAAAACTGATTTTATACATTAATGATTTCAAATAAAAGAGAAGTACTATATTTGTGCACAGCTTCTTTTGAGAAAGTTAAGTTGATGTTCTGGTTAGGAGAGATAACACTTTTTGTCCCTCTTGGTGGCCCCCCTAGTGTCACCATTAGTTGCTAATTACTTGCAAACAAATAAACAATTAACTCCTCGTGCCTCTTGGTGGGAGAGTTTTCATTGACATGCTAAAACTTTCTAATAAAAGATTTTAATTAATGACGTTGCAAATCCAACCCCCTTGTCAACGTAGCTATAAGGACGACTTGTGGAGAAATGCAAGTACAGTATACGTGCTATGCTGGCTGAAGGTGAAAGCATGGCAAGTACATCGCTATGTGCTGCTAATACATCAGCATCTCAGAATCTTCGGAAAGTGTCTGGGTTTGTAGAAAATAAAACCACACAGTGCTCGTTTTCCATTGAAAGTATTTTGGGACTGGAGCAGAAAAAAGATGGCATTCCAGCTGTGAAACCTCACAGACCGTGGATGGATGCATGCACCAACTTGGGTAAGTCAGCAGTCTATTCTGTAACCTCTCAAGCTTTTACTCCTTTAAAAAGTATATATTTTCATATTTCTACTGAAAACCAGTAAATTGAAGCTCTTGTTTGCTTGCTTTTTCTAGTTTTAGGTGATGACAGTAATCCTCATCTCCAAATCCCTGTTGTTTGCTATGAAAATCCATTATTTCATGCTAACAGTACTCCAGTGCAAGAGGAAAAAGTTTTGAAATGTGAAAAATATTTCTCAGTTACTGAAAGGCTATCTTTCAAACGAGAATTGAGCTGGTACAGGGGTAGAAGACCAAGAACTGCATTCACTAGAAACCAGGTAGGGATTTTCTTGGTATTTAATAAATGAATAACAATGTAGTTTAGTAAAATGTTGATAGAAGCCTAGAATGGCTCACTAATTCAGTATGATGTACCTCGGGAGAAAGAAATGTAATCAGGTACTAGTGTAAATTAACAGTAATGTTGCTAATTTCAGCAGACCCGTGTTTATGCATGGAATCAGAATTGTGCAAACACTGCTTGGAAATCTCCTGTTCAACAAACTAAACTGGTTTTTGTATTTATTTTCTTTATTACTGCTATGAAGGTAGTGATAAGTATTCAACAAGTGTGTTTTAATCTTCTCAGATTGAAGTCTTGGAAAATGTTTTTAAAATGAACTCCTACCCTGGCATTGATATTAGAGAAGAGCTAGCTCGCAAATTAGATTTAGATGAAGACAGGATCCAGGTAACTAAAAATTTATTTGAACTTTTCTGTAATTCCATCTATGTGTACTTGCTGGTTATATAAATAAGTAGTTTGACAGCAGTAGCAATAATTCTGATAATCTCAATTTAAAACAATGGACGTTTATACATGTGGTATGCCTTCAATGATTTGTGAAATGCCATTGAATTTCTTCTGAAATCTTAAACCTTGTTCCATAGCATTGATGAGGTATTCATCACTATAATATTTCCATGATATCTGCTCTGTTAACCTTTAGTTATCATGTGCAGAACTAGATCATTTGCTTACATGTTTTAAAATCATGTCTATATTATGCTTGTCACCATATGTGAAAAACAAATTTGAAACAAATACTGAAATAATTTGTACGAATGTCTAAGTCTATTTTGTGAGGCTGTCAGTAGAGCATACCTGTGTTAAATCGATGTTTGAGCCTATGTTTTCATCTAGCCAAAAGCAAAATCGACTCAAGGATTTTAATTATTGATTTCCAGGTAGTCCAATGTGATAAGAAGCATACCATAAATATTAGAATTTGGGCCTCACCTTGATGTTTATTAAGCTTTTGATACAAGTATTATATTGGGGTTGATCGGAAGCTTTATGCTGTAATTAATAAAGCAGCTGAAGGAATAACACCTTAAGACTTGTGTGTGAATTCCAAGATGTTCAGGATCTTCCAGGGTCTGACTCAGTGTCACTAAAGTTAATATTATTTTTTTATATTAATTACAGTGAAGCTGGTCCTCACTTTCCAGTTAAGCTGGAGGTATTGTTTTCTTAATCTGTGATGTTAGAATTATTGCAGGTAGCTACAAGCCATCACGTGCAGATTTTAAATTTGTATTGAACTTCCAAACTGCTGTCATTTCACAAAATACTGTAAAGTTGTGTGAATATTTTTAAGTTTCAAAACTTATATGGCTGTATAGTGCTGTATTTCTGAAAAGCATGCCTTTTCTTTCAATTTTAGATCTGGTTCCAGAACCGTCGTGCAAAACTGAGAAGATCACACCGAGAATCTCAGTTTCTAATGGTGAAAAATACTTTAACCTCCAGCCTGCTAGAGTAGAAAGAAGGATGGTTTACTGTTATGGTACTACAATAGAACATGAAGAATTACTGGAATTTTCATAAGTTGTATTAAGTAATGATGATATATTAATTTGATATATTAATTATGATTTTATCCCCAGATTTGAAAGTTTATCATAATTTTCATTCAAATAAACTGTAAATACTTGAAGTATTATTATAATCTACTTTTTGTGGGAAAAGTTAACTTTTCCTATATATTTTAATAAGTATTTTCAGGAAAGTTGAATTAATTTTGCAGTTGAAAAAAATCCAATCCCTAGGTTGCACAAGATTTTCAGCTAGTATGAATTACTGCAGCTTAACTGAAGAAGACTTAACAAAGCTTCATGGTTTTAAAAAAGGCTGTTAAAAGTCTCAGATACACAATATGCAAAATAGATTTTGCTACCGGGAACAGATTGTGCATTACACTTGAGTTTAAATAGCTTATTTATAGAGACTATGATAGTTTTTCATAAAGAACATAATTTTTAGAAAGAGGTATTTCAAATGGAAGGGCTAGTATTCAACTGACTGTTCAGTTTGAACAATTGCTTGGTTAAAAGCAGCTGAAAATTATAATTTTTTTATATCATATCTTAATTAATTTAGGATCTTTGCCTATTTGATACTTTAACTTGGATATCTGCTCTCTTGTCAGTATAAGCGTTCTAGTTATGGAAGTTGCCCTATTATTTTTTAATGACAGAATGCAGCATTTCACATGATCAAATCGGTTGAGAACAGACTAGATATTCAGATCATCATGATTAATTTTAGGATGTTGAATTCATTTTTATCAAACAGTTCATGAAATTAATTATACTCACATTTGATATTAAGTCAGTATGCATAAGGAGAGCCTTATACAAAAAACAAACCACAACACTCTTCATGGCCATGAGGTAGGAAAACATTGTAAGCATGGGTTTATGCTGTTCCTTGTTCAGCAGAGATTTAAGCACTTGCTTGAAGTGCTGATGTCCTTCAACGAGACTTCAGCCTGTGTTTCTTACTAGAGATAGATTCAACATGGGCCCAGCTGAATATACAAAAAATCATTTTGTGTTAGGCTGATGGTTCAG